TGTCATACTTCGCCGTCGGAGCCATAATGCAGACATACTTCCGGCTGACATACACAAACTTCTCGGCATGAATAGATCCCAAAGGGTGTTTGTGAGAATTTCTCGCCTTGTAGTAAAAGCCGGTTGCCTAAAAAATATACCCATATTGTTCTCTCCTACTTGGCTAAACTCCTTTATTGCATCTTCCAGGTCTCTCAGCGATTGGAAAAAACGACCGAGCAAAGTCTCGCGGAACTTCAAATCAGCGACAGAAACATACGCCATCGTAGCACTCGCGCAAGTGTTCGAAAGCTGCGCTACACCGCCTTATATATTCCTATCTCAACCAATCACTCTTCACCGCTCCGAAACACATCCGCATGCGGCGTTTTTTGGTCACTCGCGCAGCTGTATGCCTCTCCTAGCTTAACTAATCCATTACTAATAAGCATATGTTATCGAAAAGACCGAACTAACTTTGTATACATCAAACGAAAGTTTTTAAGGTAGATCCTAAAAGTGTTTTCGGAGGTCACAGTCGTATATATACGACTGTAGCCCCTACCCGACTATTATCCGTTTATTCCCCCCTTCTCCCCAATTTTAGTTTCCCTTAAATAGAGCATAAAAGTCTGAGTTTTTCTTCCAAAATAGAGATTTTTTGGAGCTCCAAACAGACAAAATACAAACTGCGAAGAAGCTTTACAGAAAATAGAGGAAGAAAGGTAATATGTACATTGGACCCAATTTAGGGCTGTGATGAGGAACCGGCGGGCCCAGGGGATGAATTGTTTGTTTCATTGTTATTTCTGTCATCGTTGTTGTCTAAAATCAAAGAAGACGATATTAATTGCAGTGTTAGTTGAAACATAGTATGCGAGTCGATTAGCGATACCGGAACACGAATTACGGGTTTAAACGTTGTAAAGAGATCACTAACCGTCCGGACATTGTGAAGTAGATTTCCTAGAATCTCGTTTGTGCAATCTATCATAGGCCTTCCTAACGGCATTTCAGAAGGCCTTCTCCAATTGGTGCTGGTCGCAATTGCGCGCAGCGTTCCACACCGTGAAAGCATCTATATTGTTGCTTGACATATTACGAAATTGAATGATGCGGGCGAGCGAGACAACGCATGGCTGTAAACAACATCAGGAAATGTTCCCAGTATTTGCTAGGAAGAATACCTCTAGGCGCTACTACGCCTGTGTAGAGTAGGGACTGACGAAGCTCCGATCCTTTCTAGGTGTCTGCTTCATTAAGACTTCGCGCGATGCAAAAATTGACGTAGCAGGGGTAAATTCAGATCTTTTCTATCATTTACTGTACTTACTGCTGCATTTGACAGCCGGAAGGCCTTTTCCCGTGGACTATTCAACCACAAGTCCAATAGCCTTCTCATAACGCCTAGGTATGCCAAATGAAGGGGATCTAAAGGGAAGGAGCTAACCATTCCTACATTGTGTGCCTGCAGTGGCGACAGGCCAATACAGCGACAGTCGTCGCCCTAGTATGTTCAGATGCGCTGTCATACACTACCTTGTAAACTTAATCACCCCTTACATAACATCCTTCGCAGCTATAGTAGGCATCGACATTTTTAATTTGCTTTATAAAGGCCATTATTCTACCTACGATTGGCCAAAATTCACGTCTGCTTTTCCTATGTAAAGGTAACCCCTCAATAGCTAAATAAGCAACTACCTCATCGCCAGTTATATTCATGTAGGAGACACTTAACTGGCTTGTTAGCCTTTTTACAAGTCCAAAATGGACGTACTCACCACTGCCCATTGCCGTTACCGTCGCCCCATTGCTTCCCCCGCCCAGCAACGTTCACGCTTCCTAAGGCAGATCCGGGGACAGCCTTCTCATAATTTTCAGAAGACTGGTCAGATGGACTAGCGGAATGTGAGAACGTACTGCCCACAACTGCAGTTCCTCTTTTACAGTAGCTTCCGATGCCTCTCGAGAGGCCTCTAAATGGCTATCACTTGACTGTGTCCGTGTAGATTCATCTAGCTTAGTGTATGAAGCCATTTGAGGGAAACAAGCTTCTTCGTCAGAAGAACAAGTTTCCGTGTAGCTGTAGGAACTGGAGGATAAGACACTATCCCACGAGGATGACGCTCAGTCGGACGGATACTTTTTACCCATATTCTCTGCAAGTGCCTGTTTAGTAAGTGCCTTCGTATACCATGTGGGAAACACGAAATAAAACCGATTTTCCCATAATTCTTATCTATAATAAGTCCTCCATCAGATAGCACACTTTGCCCACTACATTATCACAGAAAACCCACTGCATTGCATGGCTTTCCATGCACACAGCTTGTTGTAATTACGAAAACAGTACTGTTAAATGGTCGCACTATTTCGCCCATAACAGGCTTGAATTCATTCTTACACTTAGGGAACGAACAAAGTCCGTCAGTTAGCCTCATTTTTCAAAATGTGCATGGAAGTATTTTTACGTTAAACCCTGAGACTCACACGAGAAACTGAGGTTTGTGCGCATTCACCGCGATATCCAGCCGGCCAGTTTGCCATAATACTTGAACAGGATCATTTTGAATAGCAGAACGCGTACATTTTCCGGAGTGGCCTTCCAGAACCCTCCGAAAAAAGTAGAAATTCACAAAGTAAATGCCATGTGTTTTCTGGTTATTTTCATGTTTCAAGATCTTAGGGACATTTCATACATAGGTATATAGCACAACCAACTTTGTAGATAATTTCCGAGGAAATTGAAAAGCGACAATTTCTAAATTGGAGTATCTACCAGCAAAAAGCACGGGAAATGCCGGGGGACCCACTGACAAGCCGAACCCCTCGAAGCTGCGCCATGCAGCGGCAAAACATCGGCGAACCACGCGTGTATGGCCTTTTGGCTAGTACCTGTGCTGTTATTATGGTATCACCTTGCCCTAAAGTATATAGCATAACCCTTTATATTCTACTTGATATTAGGTAAGCTTCATGGAATAATTTGGAGAAACCAACTGAGGAAGCATATGCCAGAAATAGAGAATGGTCCATTATCCACAGAAATCCTTGAACCAGCGAAAAATTCGCTGGATATATGTATGTATCTCGTTCATCATCCCCAAAATAAGACTTAAAAGAAAAAGGAGGCGATGCCGTGGACCACACAGTATTTGTGCTGACGTTTCGGAAACTTCCAGCGGTCGGCCACGGAGAGACCTAAGCCAATCTCCCGCCAGCAAGCAGGTCAGAGTTCGTGTAACAGGCATGCCTATAACACGAGACAGGCGGCGAGACAGAAAAACTCCGAGTTAGCAGGAACAAACACCCTACCACTACTCTGATGATGGAAACGAGGATGATTCCGAAACGTCAGCATAAATACAGTATGGTCCATGGTATCGCCTCTTTTTCTTCGTCTTCTTTCGAGGATGATGAACGGGATAATCTATCTGGACCTCGAATCTTCACTTTTGTTGATATATATATAGGCCTGCATATAAAATCGGTGAGAGGGCGAGGCCGTGAAAGTGGAAGTGCGATATGGCGAGGGTTTATTGCCCTCCCTTCCTTCAAGTGGTATATTTAAGGGGACGTAATTTTGCACGAAATGAGTAAGTGAAGCGTTCTTTTCTTCATTCTCCTATAAAGTATGCCTGTATTTCTAAAAATTGAAAGGCACAGTACCAAAGCAGCAGTTATTCTTAGGTGTGGTTTGCGCAGGCAAGTGGATGTATGCTCAACCAAAGACCGACTTATTACCGTAATCACTTTTATGCTAATCGCCTTCGTTGCCTTACCTAAAACAGGACTCCCTTTCTTAGAAGAAAAGAATACTTGTGTATTCTACTCAGTGTTTCAGGCATTTCGGCGCATACTCCCAACCCTGCAGACTACCTGGGCAGAATTCCCTTTCTGTTTCTGTTTTTTTAATTTTATCTGCACATTTATTCTGGCTATGCTCACGTATGCTTATAACATACCCCAGTAATTAGTCTTATTTGCATGGGTGTTTATGCCCGATAATTCTGAGGTGATTTTGTATTGACTTCTGCTTACGGGCATCTAGATACGTTAAAACATTTGGATGATATTTCTGTTACGAGCTGTTTACGGACTCACCTTTCTTCGACCCTAATGCACAAAGATCTACATGCCACTGAAGGTGGCAGTCTTTGCTAACCCGTGACGACCGCAACACACACTCGACATTGTAATACTTCTTGTCGCAATCGGACGCTGACGTTTACCCGTCTTCGCTGTCTGGCAACCTTCTCAACACCCGACTTCTTTGTACTTCTTCCCTGCTGCCCATTCATCTTCTCCCGATTTGGATCTCCTGATTTCGTTTCTGGGCAGATACATGTGCAAAAAAACAATTCGTTATTCCGCAGACGATATTAACGAGCCAGTGGCGAAATTCGTTAAAAATCTGTGCATTATTAATATAAAGATGCAGTTTGAAGGGCAGGACAAGGCCAGTTGATTCTTTTCACAGTTGTCGTGAAAAGACCCTACTTTTATCATCTCAATACGAATTCCAACCGTAGACATTTGTTTCCGGTACCACTCTATGTAGTTCCTTTCATCTTCTGCCTCTCTCTCTCGATTGAGGTTTTATTCTATGTCTTTTTGCTTCAGAAGGAATGATTGAAACCACTCAAAGAGCCCTGATCGTTCCTGTGATCTGCGTTCTCTTCTTCTTCTTATCATTCCTGCTGCTACGGAATACCTCTCCTCCATGTGGATTTACTAGACCACCACATGCGCCCCATGATAAACTGGATTCTCTCCAGTTGCCACCAGAAAAGGTCTCAGTCCGTCTGTTTTTTTCTAATGAGCCTGTTTTTCGGGTATGTGACTCTCCTTATTTGCGACACCTTCGTAGTTGCTGGCGCCTAGAAATCGTCCATTAAAAGTACAGGTTTTGACTCTGCTTTGTAAAGATCCGCATCGGCCAAGCAGTGACACATGCGCCGTCAAAAGTCTCCAGGTTCTCTGTTTTCACTGTGATCAACTTTGTTACCACAGTTTGCGGATTGTCCACGGACGCGAGAAGGCGAGCTGTTGAGTTTTCCAGAAAGTGTGTCACAGTGCACACCCTATGAGACAGAAGAACCGAAATGGCCTCATACGGTAAGTTCCTCTTCTGAGTCCATCTACTTTGTTTCCCAAGTATCTCGGTGCTAGCCTGCCCATCGACTTGACAGAGGAATTTCAACGCTTCAGAACCAAATTTAACAAAACATTTGGCACAGAAGGTTCAGCTACACTTTCATCGTTACCTTGGTTGTAGATGAGTATCGTTATTCCACATTCTGTGAGAATTACTTTAAAGCCATTCTTCTGCAGTACTACGATCAGGGAACAGCCGAGTACGGTGTCACCGAGTTTTTCCACTATACACGTAAGTCCCTATGCGGCCCATTTGACACTTTCTTAGAGTCTGAATTTGCAAGAATTTATCTCAACCAGCCTGTCGATCTGTCAAACCGGCCGTCTGACAAAATAACCACCTATTCGAGTGTAAACATTCCGGATAGTTTCGACTGGCGCGACAAGGGTGCAGTCTCTGAAGTAAAAAATCAGGGTAACTGCGGATCATGCTGGGCGTTTTCTGCAACAGGCAACATCGAAGGCCAATGGTTTCTCCACAAAGGCGAGTTACTTTCTCTCAGCGAACAGGTACGTCCCGCCCTCCCCATTCGAAACCCAAAATGACTGAATTTCGCCAACTCAGTTCTTGTTGGTTGCCCGGTGTGGAAAGTCCCTGGAGGTAGTCAGCATTGTCCACACCACACGCAGAGGTTGAATATAGTAAATACTCGAAAGTTATTGACAACTAAGTTTCGCCCCCCCCCCCTGACGAGGTGTCAAACAGGCTAATTACATGGAGCAAATTTTTCATTACAGCTGCCGAAAAAGTGGGGCTCACTCAGCCGAGGACAGTTTTTCCTGTCTAATAAGGTTCATATTTTTGTAGACATGGTAACGGAACTACTTCTGTCACAGGAAGGGCGTTCACTGGCCAGGTTACGGAAGGTGCTCGTCTCGTCGCACCTTCGAACTCAATTAAGAGCCCCCGGCCAGTCGCGGATCGGCCAATGATATATGCGGAGAGGGGGTACTGACAAATGATGGCGGCAGTTTGTGGCTTACGGGGCGTCATTGATCAGCCATATCCAACCCCAGCTCTGAATGGCTAGGAGTTCGAACTTGGATTTATAGTAATATACCGTAACAGACGCAATATGACGAGCACGTTCCGCAACCCAGTCGGTGAATGCCCTTCTTGTGTTAGTGATTATTCCAAATCACAATCGAAGGGGCAACGAGTCCGTGGCTCATCGACAGAATGTTTAACAAATTAACATCCAGTGACTAAAAAACTCGTTCGAATCCCTAATAATGCTGGCTGGCGGTTGGGTGTAGCTGGTTGACGATTGCTAATAGGCCGAAAATGGCCATACCAGTCTCCCATGTCTTTGTCAGTACTCCCTGCTGCTTGTAGAAAATATTTTTAATCACGGAGTTGCTAGCCTTCCTCATTCACATATCTCGAGTCAGTTTGATTTTCCGACGGTCCCGTTGAAAATAAATAGTGTCGATTGAATGACATCTCTCTGGACGTAGAGAATGATGCAGCCTCCGCAATTTCATGTTTTCTGTGAGTCTGGTGTTTCACTTAGGCCACTAAAGTGTTACGTTTAGGACGGATTTGTGCCAGTTGGCAGACGAGGTACAACTTATACATTGCCTAACCTCGCTGCAGGCGAGAGTTGTTAAAAGTAGAGGCTGATGAACCATGGCTTCTGGAATGGAGGAGCTTAGCGCTACTAGCGATGCCCGCAATCTGTGCCTGTTGCATTAGCAGTCTGGCAAAAAGGGTGTGTTAGACAGGCGAAACTAGAACCTCCCGTCCACCCAGAAGATCGATTGGGTTTGTGTATAGTTGCTTTGTCCTAGACCTGTCGGTAAGACAGATTAGTCAGACCGTAAAGAATCCAACAGTTGAGCACATTTTGGTCCTTCGATGTTGCCGAATCGCGAAGCCCATCGAAACCCCTCTGTCGTCAGCTGAATTATCCACACGTGCGGGCACTGTGAATACGTGTGCCCAGCCGGTTAATTCCTTTGGGGTGCCTTTGTGCAGCCAACATTACCTCTCAGACCAATCTTATAATCGCCGTTGACATCGTCCCAACCCCTGAGGTTAACTGACCTCGAACCTCGGGACTTCACAAAGCATCAAACAGACAACGCCAACCCACCTGCCTATGTAGCGCCTGCGGCTCTACGATGGACACAGGGGCTGGTGCGTTGAATTTAACAGTCGTAAGACCCGGATTCACGCTTACTGCCCTCCCCTGACTGACCACGAGCCCCATTCCTGGACTCGTGCCACCAGCTTATTGTTAATGCAAGCACAAGCCTCCTGTAGGGATTATTTCATGCCAGGTAATCTCATCACTCAGGTCAGGATACCGGCTTTTGCACGAGCTTCCTTCCGGCCGCCTGCTAAAACCACACTCCGTAAAAATAACCAATTAAGTAGTATGAATTTTCCCCATCGATTTTCGGTGCTTTTGTGAACTTAAATATATTTTACTGAGAAAACTTGCAAAAATATCGCTTCTCGTGCTTAGTTGCCAGCAAATTACTTCCTCGTAAATTTCACTATTCTTTATTCTTGTGACTATCCTGCGCGATAGTTTGTCTTACGAGCCTGCTCAGATAAACTTCTCTTACCGAAGACACCTTTCAGAATTGCGGTCAACATTTCATGAGATAGCACATCTACCGATCGTGCTACGGAACCTGCCTGTCCCGTTGTGTTTTGGGGCTGGATCTAGTGCCCAGTAGGCCGCTACACAGCAGCCAGCGGTGTACACCGAGGGAGTCTGGAATGGCCATTTCTACTTTGTCATCCGTCGTCAAATCCATGTGTGCACCACCTGAGCCCCGATCCTTTAATCCAATCGGTGAGCGCACATGCGGTATGGGACGCTCACCGATCGCGCCTCGGGACCCACTCCTCCCGCCAAGGGTTTTGCGCTGCTTGCCATTTGACAATAACTGGTTGTTTGTTGCCTGTCGCTGTGTCATAGCTTACGCGGGCTCTAGAGTGGAGATCCACAGCAAAGCAAAACCGGCAGCACCCTGCACTGCTTCATTCCGGGTGGATTGGTGAGCACTATAGTCTCATGCTACTTAATTTACACTTACTTCCCTCTCTTTGCAGGAGCTCGTGGACTGCGACAAGAAGGACAATGGGTGCGCCGGTGGTTTCATGACAACAGCCTTTAAGGCGGTGGAAGAACTGGGCGGTTTGGAGACCGAGGAGGACTACCCATACAAGGCTGATACGAAAAAATGCAGTTTCGACCGATCCAAGGCCAGAGTTTATGTCAACGGGTCGGCGGAGCTATCGCAGAATGAAACAGAGCTGGCAGCCTGGCTCGCGGAAAACGGTCCTATAAGCGTTGGCATAAACGCGCTGCCACTCATGGTACGCTGCTTCTTTTTTGCCATTCCTGATCAGTTCCTACCGTGTTTTCCAAGCCGATCAACCACAGTTAGTAGCCATGTGTGCAACCATCTGTGATTTGTTCTGCTCTTCCTGCTGTCATTTTAAGCATACTGAAGTACAAAATTATAGAAGACGGTCCCACTGTCGCAGCCGACTCCCTCACCACACTACGCTTCGTATGTATGCTTGCAACCGCCCCTTTCTTTACTGATGTACTGTACATCAGAAACCCAACTGAACAACTGTTCCTCTTTGCTTTTAAGAACATTAAGTGTTGAGCTTCTATCAGCAGGTCCGGTCCGTCGAGACCCCTAGCTGATGACCTCAACGAGCTTTCGTGCGGGTCAGCTCATCTGAGGGTTAGCGAAGGTCACCACCTGGATGGCAGCGGTGTCCATAGGATCAAAACTGTGACGGCGTACTGTTTATACATCGTATTGTCGAAGTGACTCATGGGCAGTTACGACTGCGAATGCACGTGTGTCTGAGCTGAAGTGGGTCAGCGCGTCTAAAGCGCTTGCTGTAAAGGTGAGCGACTTCGAGGCGGCGGGGTTTTGAACAAGGACGCCAAGGTCGGTAGCATATCCATAGCAAAATTTGGATCGTTGCTGGCCCTCCTACATCGGAGACAGTAAGTTGGACACAAAAACTTCGGTAAAGTGCTATTGCGGCGCAACTGTGACCCGTTGGCTTGTCGGTTTTGTCCGCCTCATCGACAGATACATTAGATATGCTATCTCATGAATTTTTAACCGAAATCCTGAAATGTGTTTTTGATTCGAAAAGGCTACTTAGGTAGGGTTGTAATATTAGTGATTGTGCGGCAGAATCCCAGGACATTTCAGTCATATCAGGATCTCAGCTTTTGAACGAGTTCCTTTTCGGCCGTCTGCAAAAACGGCACTGCAACAAATGGACACTTGAGCAGTATGCATTTTTCACTGATTTTCGACGCCATATACATTCAGATATACGCCACTGCGAATAAAAATAAAAATATTCGTTATTTTACTCATTTGGTAGTAAATTATGTCCTTTTAAAACCTTATACCCAAAGAAAGAATATAATTCGGTTTTAACAATTCCGATCTCCGAATAATTTTTAGCCCGACTTACCATATCCTACGTTTTCTACACGCTATCAAGATGCCATATAGGGCTCATAAAATTTTATAGCAAATTTAAAGCATATTGCATACTTTGAAAGCAATATTAATAACTGTGGAGTTACGATGCTTTGCGAATGGACATTTCAGTCTTAAAAACCTCGTAATTCCTCAGGTATGAAATTTAAAGACGTGATTTGCTACCAGCTGAGTAGAAGAACGAATGTCTTTGTGCGTGTTTTCCATTAGAAGAGACAGTGGCGAGTGGACGTTCCTTTCGGTAAATTCTCATCAGGCCAATGCAGTTACATAGGGCGGGGTACAGTGAGTGAAACGAAAATCGATAAAAGCTAGGTTTTAAATTACAGGCTCGGCAAGAGCGGAAGGGCGCCGAAAGTTGTATGTGGTTAGTCAACCTTTAACCACGGTAAGCGCGGAGCCTGAACAAGGTTCTTTTGGGCGCATAGGGTCGGTTTTCGTTTAGATGTGTTTAAACTTATAAGGGCATAAAAAGTCGATGAGGAAAGTGCATACTACTTTAGTAGTCATTTTTAACTGAACGAAGCTTACTGAAAAGCTGTCATCCTGTTGTGACTGAAATACCTCGGGATTGTGATGTACGGCAGTTAATAGTACATCTCCACTTGAGTCATCTTTTCGATTCGAAGACGGACTTCATGAAATGGGACGTTCACTGTAGATCTTTACGGCCCGTCAAGCATGACAATTTCTTGTCAACTGTGTTTGCCATTGTCCGCCACCGGTTTGCTGCTCATCCACGTAGGAATGCTGTCGGGGTCGGGGTAGCTCAATATGATAGCCTTTTACCGATTAATTAATACTGGGCAAACCTGGTCTTAACCACCTCACTCCCACAGCCTACTGTCTTTCCATCCGTCCTCGTCTGAAACGGCCTTCACGACTCTCAAATGCACTTAAAACGCAACCAAAAGCAAGTACAAGTATCATGAAAGCGACGTTGCCCGATCAGGTTAGGGGACATGTTCGTTCCGCTGCGTCTTTTGACTCAATCTAGAGCCCTCGCAAACCAACTAGTAGCATTACAGGAAGGAGTAACAGGATGAGCATGCCCTGTGACCTGATCAGCAGCGAACTTCCACCATGGTTACCCTTCTCGATCGCAACCGACAGAACAACGGGCCTCTGTCTCAATGCTACAGCGTTGAATTGCTTAACGTCCAGTGACCAAAGAACCGACACTTGAATCTCAGGTCGGCATGACCTGGGGCTGGGTATGGCTGACTGACGGCGGCTGATAGGCCAGAAATGGCCATTCAGGTCTCCTTTGGCTTTGCTGGTACTGGTGCCTTTAGCACACACAAATGTCTTTCATTGTTTGGAGATCGCGTTACTTTAGTGAAAATTCCGCCCTAAGGAGCGAGAAAGCCCGCCTAGCCAGGAAGCATGTGTCACTGGAGAGAGTGGAACTGCCCCACACCTCCGCCCGGTTTCTCGCCTCCGCTCTACGGCGATGCATATCCAAACAGCTTGCGAATTTTGCCTATCTAATCTTATCTCAGTGTCGTGCGGTGAACCTAATGTAATCTGGGGCACACTTTCGTCTCCGTCCGATCACAAGTGTTTACTGGTCCCGCAGGTTTCCATATTACCCATAGTCAGCATTTTGTAGATAGGCTCCGCTCAGTAGGAATTGCGGAGTCGTTTTGAAACTGACCTTCGATATGGCTCTCTGGCGAAACTTAACATTATAAGATGACGAGGTAACTCAAGGATGTTCCTTAGTGTGATCGGATCTGTTACTGGCTTCCAGCGGACGGCATTTCGCAACTGTTCATTCGCGATTTTTCCCCACGCAGTGGTCTGCGACGCCAGTCATCCCTTGTGTTCCCGGCAACTCATCAGCTGAAATCATCCCACCCTGGTTTCCGTGTACTAAATTTTCTGGCTCGACGAATCTCCATTTATTATATATTTTCCATATCTACTCTGTTAATTAAGGTACTCCAAGTGTCACTTTGCACGCAACCACCTTTTCTGCCTAATCAAACGTAGCGACAGTTTAGTCACCTACCTACTTTCTTCGTCTCCAAATACTCCAGCTAACGTATTTTTTCTTCAAGTTAGGCTGTTTATTGTAGGCTTTATAAGAGCCACATTGCCTGCTTCTACTGACAGCATTCCATGCATAATTTGTTTCTTGAACTCGTCCTTTCATCTTCCACGTCTTTTCTTTTCTAGTTCTACATCAGGGGTATTGTTCACCTCCCCTCTTTCCTGTGCCCGTCCTTCATGATTGATCACGGCGTGTTGTTGGTCGGCTACGGAGTCGGGCCCACCATTATTCATTCTCACGTGCCCTACTGGATCGTTAAGAACAGTTGGGGAAAGTCCTGGGGCGAGGCGGTAGGTTGTTCTCTTGCCATCTATCTACACAACCACTCAGTTTTGTTAAGTGACGGTTTAGTGTAAATACGAATACACAAAGTTTGACGCTTTTACTTTTGAAACAGTAGCCTGAAGTCTTCTTTTTTGACCCTGCCACCTGCCGACCGGCACCTCCGTTTTGATGCGCTGACTGTGGCGTAATTTCTTGCGATGACAGTTTGCCTGTCTGTCTGGAAGCCTTGTTTAAGGCGTTGACCAGATCAGGAGGCAATTCTCGACTCTCATTTTTATTTCATTTTCTATTCAAATGGTGGACTTGAGTTATATCGGCACCGTATTCGCTCTTCCTCTTCTGCAAAGGACTATTTTTATGGTCTGCCGTGACTTTTTACAGGTCATTTTTTCATTCTTTGTGCGGGGTTGACTTTTTGGCCCGTTACTGACGCCAATGAGTTTTGTGGCGCATCCTTCGATCCCACGTACAAGTTAGCCCAACAAAATTCCTATTAAGTGCCCGCTCCAGCGCTTTTTGCAATTTAGTTAGTCCACTCGTAGCAGGCTACGAGGAGCACCATCTGTGCGGAGAGGGCATAGTGACGACTTGTGCAGCGATTATTCTCCTCCCTAATAATTACCCTGACCTCCGCAGGGGGCTACGTGGCAGACGCGCTGTACCAAAACGGGGGTCTTATTGGCTCACGACCCGCGCCAATCGGGCCGCGCAGAGTCCGCGCTAACCATGTTTACTGTCGTACATGAAATACTAGTTATGGCACGCTTTGACATAGGCCCTCACTAGCTGGTTGACGGGCTCGGCCAAACGAATAATGCGTGGGAGTGGGAAGAGGGAGGGTGAGGATGACACTGGGGACCCATGTTCACGGCACGTCGGCGCATCGCTCGTCGTGCTTGAATCTATCACCACGCGCTAAAAGTCGTGGCTGAAAAGGTTGCCAACCAACGGGAGAACTCTGTCCCTCTCCGGACGGACAACCAGGCTGCAATGGTTTCTTCTTAATGCGGCTCTAAAGGCATTTACACGTGTCGGTTCGAGCCACCCTCACAAAAGTTGGAGAAATTTATAGTGGAGACCAGGTCGTGTATGACACGCCCAGACGGACTGTATAATGTTGTCAGGCGATGGCCCGAGTCCACCTCCGGTCGTCTTAACACTGATTTTCCATCGGAACAAAATGGGTGGGGGGATGGGAGAGTTTGGTGGATGCTATTCAATCCCGCTTCTGTAGACTAATTCGCGCGCAAGTCGCCATCCTGCGTCCACTCCATGGAACACGTAATGGCTCTCATCTTTCGCAACGCTCGAGCAGCATGTTAAAATGTCAAGACAAATCAAAACCACCGGTGACCAACCCAGATGCAGCTGCTAGCAAGCCTGTAATGTTGTCTACGTGGGTATTGGTCTTTGACTTTGTACGAATCTGTCTTCAAGGATCGCCACTGGTATTACCACAAATACTACACTACGAATAAACCATTGCAGGCAAACCTCCAGCCCTAAATAAGACGGTCAGTTCCCCGCCGTTGACCCCACGCGAAAGTTAAAAAATCTTGACCAGTAAAGTGATTAAATTAAGCGTTGAGTCCACCTCCACTCGATCGGAGGTAAGCGAACCACAGACATAATTTTACCTAGGGGTTGACGTGGTTTGCAGTGGGCGTTTAGCGCCTGCCCGAGACTACCCCCAGATAGACATTCCTCATGCTTATTCGTGCGCTGCTCTATATATCTACGTTTACAACCTGCAAATAAGCATAGTTGGACATAACATGTGCCCTGCGTGATTTAACAGGTATGAACTAATTTTTCTGCTATTCTGGCAAATTCAGTACTCTTCGCTATTTTACGAAGCCCTTGGAATTGAAAGTACCAAGCAGCCTGCCAGCGAACCGTAGACAACTTGTGTTGGCCGTGCTGCTGGATGAAAACCTGCGAACTATGTCACCCGACAAAATAAGATGCTTTCAGAGGTTTAGTGTTGAAGGTATGGAATTTTGGACATTAGATCGCTCTAGCGATAACGATAACCATATGGTACACGTTATAATGCGGTTGAACTCCACATCAGCTACTGCGTTCGATCTCATCTCCAGTTTTTTTCACTTTGACTTGGTGCTCGAATGCCAGAGGGGGGTCGTTACAGTTCGGATCTGGCGCAGACTCTTAAGCCATTGCGACACAGTTCCCCATCGTGATCTAGAAGTTTGCCAACTGATGTCATAGGTCATTTCTACACATAGATGTTTCTTAGTGTCGTCTCTGCAGCAATCCGATAAGATCTCGCCGTATACTGACCCTGTCGTAATTACGGACCCGTACGTGTGTGGTACGCGCAGACTAAGTTTCAAATTCGTCAACTACTGAGTCCGCGTCAATCTCCAGTCTCATCGACTGTCTTTTCGGCTGTCGGAAGAGGAATGAAGACCAGTAGGTGGGCTAACGCATAAAATGTCAACCAAGATTCCGAAATGCGTTCTCGTTTCGAAAAGATTAAATAGGGTTGTAAAACTACTTATTGTGCAGCATAATTCTATAATAATTCAGTTACCTCAGGGTGCCGGCTTTCGAACGAACTTCCTTCCGGCTACCTGCAAAGACCACACTCTTTAACAAATGACTACTTAGGTAGCACACATATTTCTCATTGCTTTTCGATGCTCTTAAAAATCTTATTATATTTCATAGAAAATATGCATAAAAATATTCCTTGTCTTGCTCATTCGGTAGAAAATTACGACTTCTTCCAATTTTATACTCGGAGGAAGCGTATAATTCGGTTTTCGAAAACTTTTTCATTTCTCGAATGATTTTGAACTCGACCTGCCGTTACATTTGCATTCAGGATTTCCGAACTACAAGCCATATGCTTTCCGCGGACGGAAAACCATACATTTGTCTACGGTATTAATAGGAGCCCATACGGGATCCATAAGGTTTAGCAGTGGATTTCAGCCATATTGATATATGCAGAGAAATGACGTTTTATGAATAGACATTTCACGGTATTAAAAAAATCTTGCAATTAGAAACCCTTTTAAAACCGAAATATACCCCTCCTTCGAGTATAAAATTGAAAGAAGTCGTAATTTTCTACCGAGTGAGCAAGACAATGAATATTTTTAGGCATGTTTTCCATGAAATATAATTGGACTTTTAGGGCCATCGAAAATCAATGAGAAAAAAATGCATGCTACTTAAGCAGTCATTTTTTAAACAGTGTGGTTTTTGCATGCAGCCGGAAGGAAGTTCGTTCGAAAGCCGGTACCCTGAGGTAACTGAATTATTATAGAATTATGCTGTACGATTATTAGTTTTATAGCCCTATTTAATTAAACTTTTCGAAACGAAAACGCATTTCGGAATTTTGGTTGACATCTCATCAGCTAGCCCACCTACTGTAGATGCCGCACAAACCTGATTCGCTATAAACAGCTTTGCGCGAAATTCACCACTACGCCCTCCAACACTGTGTTAGTCGTTGAATCAGCCGGGCTCATGTCTGGCTGGCCTGGACGGTGTGTCGCACAGGGCGTCTCTTTGTGCCCGACGGCTTGCGGTAGCAGATGTGGGGATCTTGACCCCTCATATTCTCCAACAAAGACCGAATACCGAGAGTTCAAGAACAACATCGATGCCTCTCTAGCCGACTTCATATGCCTCGGCAAGGAACGTCATTTAGATCGGCAGTAGTAAATTCACATGGTAGGCGACAGAAGATGTGCCTGAACCCCTTCAACCTTCTTTTTGGCCTAAAATAACCTCTGCGGACGCGTACGGTCCATTTTGAGAAATAGCCTGTACCCGTCTGGCGAACGATTTTCAGGCATTTATACTGTTGGAGAACAGAACAGATTGGTGGGCACGATATCAAGACTGACATGGAGGCTAATAGAATACCCCTCTGACATAGTCGATGCGACAAGCGCTGCCGTTCCCGACTGTCACCCTAGAGTGTTTAAAATTGACAACTTTTGCCTGCTGTCTGTTGTTAATCAGGAGACGCCCTCCGCCGACCAGAAATCTAGTTCGGGCACACTTGGCGGCCTTGTTCATCCGTCATATCAGGTTCTCTAGGTCACTGCATTTTAATGCTGTTTGGGACGGTGCCTTCTGCACGCCGGAGGTCGGCCAGCCGTGCGTGTAGTTTCAGGTCATACACTGTCAGTATCACGTACAGCTCTTCGGCGAATCCAATCAGTAACACTGTTGCACACTGCATGACAAAACCCACGAAACGCTGATTTGAATTTTCGGCACACTCTCAGGTAGGCCTTACGCAGGGCAGAACATGTACATTCCTACACGTTATCACAGTGGCTTTTAACTGAGAAATTTATGTTAATGTGTGGATTTTACCCGAAACAAACTACCTACCTAAGTGGTGCGAGTTTTCTCAATCCACTTGCTGCCCGTATAATTTCAATTATTACGTAATAAAAAGAACTTACATAAAGACGTCTCTTGTTGAAGTTTGCGCCGCCTTCAACTTGTGCATTGGAAGGGAGTATTTCGATATCCTGAAGTTAAAGGAACTTTTTGGGACACTTATGGGACTGCTGACGTTACTTCCTTTCCATGATTTTTTAAAATGCTATTCACGGAGTATGTATCGAAGCTTATGTCCTAAGGCCCTAGAGATTAAACTGTTGTTCCAAACTTTCGAATTCTCAACTTTGTCAGATGAAATTCCTCGGTGCACATTTCCTCGGTAGTTTGTGGGTACACCACGTGGTCTTTCTCAATTATCTATGAGCACCAGAAAATCCCACTTACAAGAAAATATAGGATTTTGTTGGTCTGTTCCAGAGAAAACATGAGTACAAGTGAAAAATCAGGTTGCTTTTTTAGACTGTGCAGGAATTGACTGAGGTTCTAAGGGGCGAAAACTCCCATCATATGCGGCACTTAAGGAAGGCGTAGCTGCCTATGACAGAATTACCAGAAATTCGTTTTTTGCATCTTGCTATAAAGCAAAAGTGGATTTCTTCGGGTTTCCTAGACCTTTGGGCAACGTGCAGATTTCCCAGATTTAAATGCTTTTTCAAACATAAAATGGGATGCATTGGGGGAGGCGTTCGTCGAACTTATGACAACAGGCTGCATTCCTGAAGGCCTGCGAGTCAGGACGTATCCCAATGGTGATTTGCCCACTGAATCGGGATGCTGATTGCAGGAGCAGCGTTCTGGCCAAACGGACAAGGGGACCGATTCTTCCTTCAGTAGGATGCTAACACTGAACTGTACACTTGGATGCTAAAGGAGATTCTGTTGCTGGCCCCTGACCAGGGAGACAGCGCGATGCGATCTACAGGACTTCACTGCTCTGTTTTATCAGTTCTAGATTCCAGGCCGAAAGCCGAAATCTATCTTTTCACCTGGGTACTGTTAACCATGCACGTGATTGTCTGGTTGGCAGTGTTCGATGACGTCAACTTTTTAATTGGTGAAGTTTAGCTGACTGCATCTCCTTAGTATGGAAGCAGCTGTCCCTGCCAATCATACTCCTGTTTGTACTTATCCAAGTCGTTTTGTAGCGAAAGTTTTTAATTTGTAATACTGATTCATTAGTATCTTACCGAGCGAACTACCGGCCCGAGTCATTTCCCTATTCAATACGATAGATAGCCAGTACCGTCCATGTCTCTCCAACGGCATATAGCAGAGAGGACTATTTTGGATTGTTACCATTCGCGGGTCTCCTTTATTTTTGCGTGTCAGCCGTCACCATTCGCTGTGATTCACGATGCTTCATTACGTCTTTTGCCCGTATTCTCGCTTTCAGAACATAGTCACCCATCGCTGCCCCTTGTATCTGTTTTTGACGAAATCGGTTGGATGGCGTTATTAAACTTATTTATTAGCCATACGACGGGTTTTTTTAGCGTAACATTTGTATGCCTCACGTAGCGTGCTTAGTGGCGAAACCTTAAGTCTCCTATGTGCCAGTAAACATTATTTTTTCCCATTTCAGGGTTATTTCCGCATTCATCGTGGAAGTCAGGCCTGCGGTGTAAACCAAATGTGCTCGACCTCCATCATAAAGTAACATCATGCCCCCTTACTTGACTGTCGGCCTGCAACCTACTCATTTAATTAACGAGTCTTTATTGACATCCAGACTGAAGGCAATTTTTACCATCTCTACATCCTATACTTTTTATCTACAACTGCATCTCTGATTCCTTGAATTAATAACACATATGTTATACACATTCTCGTATGCGTTCGTTGGTTTCGAATCGATCGTAACTTATCGGTCTCTTGAAAGTCGAGACCGACTTTCGGGGACTGCAAACTCGGGTCAGGGGGCATACCGCGGTGGGTTCCAAGGAGGAGCGATATAAAGTAGATGCGATAACTCATGAAATATTAGCCGAAATCCTGAAATACGTTTTCCAATCGGAAGGATCATCTAAGTAGGGTTGTAATATTTATCATCATGCACCATAATTCCAAATTAATTCAGTTAATTCAAGATGTCAGTTTTTTAACGAACCCCTTTCAAGCCGCTTGCACAAACCACCTTGTAGAAAGTGACTACTCAAGCAGTACGAATTTCCTCATTTATTTTCGATGCTCTTATGAATTTAAATATATTTCACAGGAAATATGCACAAAATATCCATTCTTTTACACATTTGGAAGAAAATTATGTCTTCAAATTTTATACTTTAAGGAAGGGCATGATTCGGTTTTAAAAAACTTCAAATTCCCGAATACTTTTTAACCATACCTGCTGTTAAACTTGCATTCAGGGTTTCCAAACTCCAAGCTATATATTTTCCGTGTACGAAAAATCATATATTTCTATACGGTTTTCAGAGTAGACGATATGGGGTTCATAAAATTTGGCGGTGGACTTGAGGCATATTGTAAACAGTGACACGATGTTTTGTGAACGTGCATTTCACGGTCTTAGAAAATCTCATAATTAGAAACTTTTTTTCAAAACCGTATTACACCCTTCCTTCAGACATGAAATCTGAAGAAGACGTAATTTTCTACCAAACGAGTGAAAGAATGCTTATTTTGTGCATTTTTCTATGAAATACACTTACATTTGTATAAGCATTTAAAATCAATGAGAAAATGCATACTACTTAAGTATCATCCTCTACAGTGCTGTTTTTGCATGCGGCCACAAAATTCTTTCAAAAGCCAGCATCAAGTGAAATATATTGGGATTCTAGTGCATGCTCATTAATGTTACAACCCACTTAAGTAATCTTTTCGAGTCGAAAACGCATTTCAGAATTGCGTTTAACATTTCATGAATTAGCACATCTACTGTAACATTGCAACTAATCTTGGCAGGACTTCCTACCTCACAGCTATGCATTAGATAGTTAGTATCGAATAAGGGACACTGCTAGATTTTGCATCTTGCGTCCGTCCTTGTTTTCGCCTTTTTATCCTACGTTTCCTCCTGGTAGAGTAGGAACTAGTGCCCCATATTACTCTTTTGCGACACTTTTATTGATGCTTAACGTCTTGAGGAGACCGTTCCGGCTCCCATTGTTAGAAAACTGTTGACTCATCGTAACATCCGCATCATGAGGTGTTGTTTGGGATCCACTCCGTGCCGGCTGCGGATTAGCCATTACCACTTCCGTCCGCACACTTTTTGATCGCCTGTGTTCTGGTTATGTGGCCATGTTAAACGACAGGCATACTAAATGGTCTTCTGACAGTTAAGCCCCTTTTAGCTGCCTAATACGGCCATAATTAGCCGGGATATAGTTTGGAGTCCGCTGAAGTTAGGACCTTCGGCAGTATGGGGTATCACCTGTGGCTTCGAGCATCTAAACGACCAGCCGGCGCACGTGAGGCCCAAGACGCTGGCCCTTTTATTTGCATCTATAGCAGTTAAATTATAGGATATTCCACCTATCACTCTAGGCAAGTTCAGAGTTTCAAATCTGCGCAATGAGAGCCGCCATATCGGCGGAGCTTCTTATTTTTGCTAATGTGCCTACATTGCTAGGATTCCTCTCGTCCGTTACTACGTCGATTTGCTAGGACTTCTGCAGGAATCGAGTAAAAAAAGAAATCCTGAAAGGGTAGAAAAAGTAGCAAGCGGAGCGTGTACTTACTAACGAAGCGTTCTTAGGTTCTATCTTACATCCGTGCATGGACGACCCTGTACACTGAATTATATGTTGCTTACAACTACCTGAAATGAAATGCCTAGTCAATGAACGAGGAAATAAAAGTTAGGTGGTATAATTGATAATCGTGACACTTGATGAACCGCAAAGCGCTTCGAGATAGAGCATGAGGCTATGATCCACGAATTCGGGAGTGTCCTCGTTTCTACTATCCAAATATGATTTTGCATCTTAACTTGACCTAAATTTGGAATTATTGGCAAGTTGGCTCTTATTTGTATGTCCTAATTCTTAAATAAGTTACTTCCTTCTAACCAGAATTAGTGAGCGGCTAAGTATGATTCCACCATTGATCACTGAGCATGCTAACACACGCCCTGTTATTTTGCTTGATCACAAATCCTTCCCTGCTTATATATTTATCTGTGTCTGCGTCCTTACGCGTGTTATTAGGCAGCGATAGAATGCGAAACAACTATGGAAAGTACCTAGTTATGTTTTTGCTGAGGTTTTAGCTGTTATTCTTCTATTGTTCACGTTTTTCTTCAAATAAACCTCACACTTGGCCGCTCACTAATTCTGGTTGGAGGGAAATAACTTATTTTCGAATGAGGACATGAAAATGAGAGCCAGCTTTCTGATAATCCCAAATTTAGGTAAAATTAAAATGACAATCTTTGGTAAGACAAGCTCTGCTGTGATGCACCACAGAGCTATCAAGTCTGGAAAAGAGACGGGCCAAGTTATAACTATCTGACACTAGAGGCTCGAATTTATTCCAAGACCCCTCATCTAAGCAGTTAACGGAGAAGCAGTTACGAGTGCTACGGCATGAACTCTATTTTGATTCTGTCGACGCTGACCCTGTCTACGTCATTGTAGCCCTCGAAGCTATGTATGTGAGGATTGAAATAACCGATGACAAGAAGCACTGCCCGACATTGTCAGCGTACTGATGGCGAACAGACCACGTCAGTGTGCCTCGTCTGAATCAAAAGCTCTGGCGAACCAGGGATGGACGGAAAAAATATCGTCCCGTTGATGAGGGACGATCAACTGTAATAATAAATCGAGAAGGTTCTACTCGATGACAGAACTTTACGGACTAGCGCAGGACTTGCAAGCCAAAGCAGTAGCAAATCGGTTGAATAAAAGGTTTTGAGAATTCGTACGCCACAATATGATCATTGTAAACGAATGACGTCAAAAGAATCCTACGGGTTCTACTCTGGCCTGATTTTATGATCTACCAACGATCCACGAAACAAATACCCCCTCTTTATCTACTTCAAATTCCCACAAAATGACGGAGGCGGCAGTTGGCGGAAAATAGAGAAACGTATAAGTTAACTAACTGGATATAAGATGTGGACTAAAACATGTCATCCAACGCAGTCTTACAGAGATTGGTCGAGAGTGCCTCGGAAACTCTTTAAGTCTTAGGTAATTAGTGGGGCTCAGCAAATGACTTTATCGCCCGGTTGTGTCAAGCCCTCTATTGTGATATCTAGATGAGTCGTCCTAACTCCGTGTGCAGATTGAATAAGAATCGTGTTGATTTTGTGACACTGAAGACAGTTTAACCGAGGAGAAAGCCCGGTCACTGGTAATAGATACGCACGCCCTTCCGTCTTGGCGTTAGCACTACTATATCTTTACTTCTTGTCTGTCTGTGTTTCGATGTGCACTTACAAAAGAATCGACAGCTTGATGACTCGGCAATAGGGTGCAGTCCATACATTTTGTTTTTTTTGACGTTTGTCGAAAATTCGTTAATTAAATGAAATAAACCACTCAGTTAGCATATAAAAGCTTGATTTTATAGAGAAACTTGCAGAAGGGGAATAGTTGTATTGGGATGGCTGTTATTTATCAAATAACTCGAAAAAGTCACACGACCACCTTATAAGCAACACAGTACCCACGGCCTATTTGCCTCTCTAAGCGTCAGATAATGTATCGAACAAGAGTATTTAGAACCATCAAATATTGTTTCGAGATCAGAGAATCCCGTCGGTGGTATATAAAACGTCATATTTACGTCGGGACGAAAAAAGACGCCCCTCCTATCAATATCTGTGTAGTCCAGAATGCACAGAGTGGTGTCTATTTCGTTCCGAAGAAGGCAATTCACTTGAACTCCCAGACAAAAGACCAGCTTCAGCAAGTTCAACCAAAAGTGAGAACACATTACGTCAATTGAAAAGGTTTCAGTGCCAAACTTCAAGGTTCATGTCCAAATTACGCAAGGCAAAATGATTTATTCTGTTAATAGATTTAAGTTCCTCAACTTCAACCCCATAAACCACTGAAAAGTACAGTGTCTTAAAAGTATTTTGTATGTCAGAACCTCCCCCGTCCATTAGGGGAATCATAAATGCCAGTGTTCATATATTTCATGGGTGAAGAAGGCTGTGATATTGCAATAACATAGGACACATGATGTGCCAAGCCCCCTACTTGATGCCGGTATCGAGCTTTTATCGGTCAACCGCGAAGACAGAGCACGTAAACACCTCACAGTGGCGATCATCGGTCTGCTAAGTCCCTAATTTCCTCGTTATTCTCTCCTGTTATGGTTTACGTCTTCAACCTTCGTTGGTTCAGTTCAGTTCAGTTCGCCAGTTCTTTTATCCCTCTGAATAAAGACGCGTCCCGATTCGAAAAATTAAATTTATGCTTCTCGACTGTTGCATGACCGTCACTACCTGTTACGTGTGCTCGCTTCCGATCGTCTGAATGATGAACCGTTTAGGAACGAATAAGCAAGCACCAAATTCGGCGACGAAGAAGCGGAAACCGAGTATTCGCCACACTTTGACCACGGCCTAATCATTCATTCGAAGAATCCGTCCGCGACCTGAAGCGCCTAACCACCGCGGTCTTCCCCAGTCTCCCAGAAGTCAACTGTGATCTTGTCATCATGCATCAGTTCATA